AAAAAAAAAAAAAAAAAAAAAAAGAGGTAACAAAAATCAAGCTCATTAATAGAAGGGATATGATGCTGATCAATACAGGAAGTATCATTAATTTTAGCATCAAAGTGCTTTGAATTAGATTACACAGCTAACCTTTCTATGTAGGAGTCATCCTCTGTATTAACAACTATGGCATCACCAGCTACGATGTGCGGCGGAACCTGGAAGCAGTAGATCAGAATCAGACAATTGCATGAAATGATAATTAGATTTTCAAGGACAGTTGCACATGTGAATATCTTTTTGTCAATTATTTACACTATTAAATAAGTGCAGTATGAAAAAGAAAGAATCATTAGACAGACTTACTTCAACTGTAAGGCCATTGTCCAGTACTACCTTTTTATTCCTTAAATCAAGAAAGAAAAAAAGATCAGGAAAATAATTTAAATTTAACAGACCAAATGATGCAAATTCTAGAGAAGTTTTGTCCACTTAGAAGTTAACTTCCACAATTGATATTTTCAATAATGTCGGATTCAAATTACTGATACAGAAGCAGAAAAGTAATCAGCAACATCCCACAAATTGAGAACTAAACATTCCGAAATATATTACTGGTGTATGACTTAGAATGTAATTTATAACTAGTTATTATACTGATTGTCATTTAAATGGACCAAGAAAGCAAACACTTCGGGGCTAATCTAATCAAATATTTTGGATGACCAAGAGGTCACGGGTTCAAGTCCTGGAAACAGCCTCTCCGCTTGCGGGGGTAAGGCTGCGTACATCTACCCTCCCCAGACCCCACTAGGTGGGAGCCTCGTGCACTGGGCCGCCCTTTTTAAAACAACCTTCTGTTTGGACAGAATTAATAAGTAACACAAATGATTTGATACAAATTGAAGATCTCACACTACTCTTTCCTGTGACGTGTGTTATGTAACTACTCGGGCATTATAACAGTGAGAAACTTATTCTCTCTTTGAAGTACTACCTTTTCATATTTTCTCTCTCTTTCCTCACCTCTATATCTCTTCTCCCTGCTCTCTCCCTTCTCTTCTCTCTCTTTTTCCCCTCTCCCCCTCCTATCTATTTTTTCTCTCTCATCTCACTCTTTTTCTCCTTTCTTTTCTTTCCTCTTTCCCCTTCTCCTTTATCTCTGAGTTATTCAATATTTAAAATATAATATATATATATATAGAGATATAGATATAGATATTGATGAAAATTAAATTACCCTATCCAAACTAAAAAGCTAAGGAATTTGAATTGATTTATCCAAACAAAATATTTAATAAATAAAAGAAGTTTCAAAGGTAATTCAAATTTCAAGAATTCCAAATTTTTCTGAAATTTTAAAATTTTTCATCCAAACACATCCTAATGATATTTTGAGATATTTACAAATTCTAACAAGGATCTAACTGGTTGGTGTTTTAGGGTACATAGAACAGAACCTCCAAAACAAGGTTAAAGATTAGAAACTTATACAACATATTCAAGTCAGAAGAAAAAAAATATGATAAAAAAATGTCTCAATAGGAAGATAAAATGAAGAAAATGTCAGAAATTTGTATGGTTCCTTAGTCATTACAAGTTGCAGAATGCAGCTTGAACTAATCTTATTAAGAGTATACTTGAATACAAGTTAGAAGCACTTTTGAAAGTTTCTCAATTGAATACAAAGAGTATTTTCCAATAGAAAAGCTTTCAAAAACGCTTTTAAACTTGTATCCAAACAAGTTCTAAGTAGAAGATAAGCCCAAAAAAATAGGCGAAATATTTGAACCAATATGAGAGCAGTTTGTAAGATAATATGCTAGTATATTTCATCAGAAAATGTTCCAAGACACACAAAAGCAAAATAAAAAAAAAGCGGGAAGGTGCAACATCAAGTATACTCTTTAAATATAATAATGGATAATAACACATACCTCGGAGTGGCTGCAACAGCTTCCTTGACAATACATGTTACACGTTTTGGAACAGATGCAGATAAAGGTTTGTCATCATAAAATTGTACCTTAACTTTCATTTCATCTGCCAACCAACCAGAAGAATGAAAACTAGTTAGTAATAGAAGGCAAGATTGAACCAAGTCATACTTATATCCATGAAAATAAAAATTGATCCTTGATAACTACCACAGAAGAGATTTTATTAGAGAGAACAAAGGAGAAAATACAACGACAAAGGAGAATAACATCCTTCTAAATGTAACACAAAGCAAGAAGGGAAAAGGAGGGGAGGAAGGAAGAGATTTGAAGGCACAAGAAAGTAGAAAACAAACTTTTCCCATAAATGTAGAGCAACTAATAGGTTATTAGGCTGTTCACAAAAAGTAAACAGGAGAAGGAAAAAAGGGAAGGGGCAGTTAAAGAGATGGACCTGGTAATCAAAGCCCACAAGTATACGATAGAAGAAAGAAGCTTGATCAGAAAAAGAGTCACATTGTGAGGAGAGAGAGAGGGAAAAGCAATAGAAAGTACACCTGGAATGAGAAGAGTGAAGGAAGGCGAGTTTGTTACTGATTGAAAAGAATAGACTTGAAGAGATGGAATGGTAGTGAATAACTAAGAATTACAGTTGATTGGGTAGCCTTTTGGTTCGGTTGGGGAATTTTTTGCTGTTTGTGATTATCTATATATTTTCCATACTGTATTTCTGTTTCATTCATTTAAGGAGCTGAGTTCTGCTAGAGAAATTTCCATTATTCAATCATTCAAAAATTCAATCTTAACAGCAACAAAGAAAGGCTACAATTGCAAGTTTTTCCAATAAAATATGTAAACAAACCACAGGTGATTGGAAAATGAGGGAAATACGACAAGTAGTTGAGTCTTGAGCTAAGCCTTGACTAAACCTTAGAAATGCCATGATGATTTTCAAACCTCCTAGCTACTATTCCACTACAATAATTCTTGCCAAGAAGAATGCCCATGTTGTGGCAATTCCACCTCGAAGGGTAATGTGTTACTCCTAATGCACATCCTTGTACAATACTCAAGGTTCTAGGTTGAGTAGCAGGAGCAACTTTTAATTTATTATGAACCCACACAATCGATTCAATAAGTTTTTACCAATAACCACACCTACTGAATAGAAACATTAAACTAAATGCCCAATGCACCATATAAGTACAGCAGAGAACAGGGGATAAAATAAGAATAAAACTAACCATAGTGATCAAGCATGGAATTAAGACACTACATTGACTAGAGCAAACTTTAAATGTCACGCATCATGGTAGCATCAAGATAACAAAAGCCATAGATTTTATACTTGATAGTTACAAAGATATAGAAAGACAGCACTGAACACTAACATAAGCAAACGGTTGTCTAAGACTCTTAAGTTAATGAGAAAGTCAACAATTGGAAACGCAAAATTCAGGGAAACACTTAGGTACCAGTCATGACATTCATTATATCAAATAGTGGATTTGATATCTAAAAAAAAAGTGGAATTGGCAATAATTAATAAAAAAAATTATCAGCATTAATGACAAAATCAGAAAATAATTGTTGGCACTTGGCACACTGGTAGGTTATTGAAACAAGGATGCTATCTTAGTATCTTTAGAGTATGGGCACTAAGCACATTTGAAAAGCTCTAAATGTTCCATATAAATTGACAGAAAAAGAGCAGTGGTCATGGACTGAATAGTGTCAGTTTTTATCCACCTCGTAGATATAAACAATCCTTGTTGAACAAGTCCTTGGAAACTTCAATTTGATCCAATGTATCAGGGCTGACCACAATTACAAAGAGAAACAACATTAATAACTTTGCTAACCAAATTTTTTTTGCCCCCAACAGCATAGAATAACAGCAAAATAGGGTGAAAGATGTAAGAACTCACTCCATCAATACTACAGTTCCATCATGATCCATGCACATAAACATGAAAGTCTTCTCCTGAACATAAACCCCTGGCAACAATTTGTCATTTATAAGCACATGAAAAGATTACAATACAAGTCAATCATCAGCAGGTTTGAAGCGCCCTAGCAACACACTAATTGAAAAAAAAAAAAAATTGTCTCACATCTTTTTCCTTCAAAGATATAAACCGTTGTGTTCAAACAAATTATCAGATCTGAGAACAAACACTATAAGAGACCTCAAAAGAGTCTAGATTTATTCCTTATAATTGGTTAATAGTTACCATAATTAGGAGTTTATTATGTACAGATTTATCTCTGATTTGGCTTCCCTGTTTTTTTAATTACTTTAGTTTCCCTACTACTGTAATTACATACTGATAAAGTACTACTTGAGGAGGAGACCAAGGAAGAGGAAGATGTAAATGCTAGGCTAAGAGGACTCATTACTAAGGATGGGAATAAGTTAAGCCTTAAACAAGGATCTATGACCTAGCCTCTTTAAAGTCTGCCTTGACCTGAATTGTTTAATAAAAAGATCAAGTTTAGACTTTTAAAAAAGTCTATTTATATAAAAAGGTCAAAGTTAGACTTATAAAAAAGTCTATTTATATAAAAAGGTCAAACTTAGATTTATAAAAAAGTCTATTAAGCCTGATAGATCAACCTATTTATTTATATAATATAATAAAAAATTAAAGTATATATATATATATTATTAAAAATATAAATAAATAAATATCTTTATAACACAAAAATAAATTAGAATATTTAAAATATTTTTTTATAATTATTTTTTTTTTCATTATAGGTTTATAAGCTTATAACCTGTGCATGAATGTATATCAATATACATGATTACACATGAATTGTTCCTTCAATAAAAAATAATTCAATTTTTCTCCTATATTTCTTTTAAAATTTAAATTTTAATAACATTGAGTAAATTATATTTTAAAAATAATTTTGTTGATTTTTAAGAATTAAGTTTATTAACTTAATTAACATTAATAATTTAAATAGGTTTTTAAATAGACTAATAGGTAAAGTCGGTCTTTAAAAAGGTCAGATTAGGCCTATAAAAAAAAGGTTTATGATAGATAATAGGTCAAACTTATGCTTTAATTTTGCAGAACAAGCTCAGCCTATATATTCAAAGTCTGAGCTACTCTCATCCTTACTCATCACAAATGCATGGAAAGCTTCCTCAAGGACTAAATCAAGCAAGGAAAACAATGCCTACATGGGAGGGAAGGCCAAGGATCATTCTGAAGCTTATTCCAGCAAGTGAGATATACAATTTCTCCAAGTGGGAGATAAAGATGACAAACAAGCATGAGAGATGGGAAAAAAAAAACGAAAGAACACTTTTGTATTGATTTACCAAATCACAAAGAATAAAGGAGAGAATCATCCTCCCAAGAGCTTCCCTTCAACAGAAGTTTCCCACCTCTAAAACCAACCCGCTCCTCCTTTTACAAACTAACAAATCTGCATGCCTCTCTTCTACCCCTTCGAAAATTAAAGCTAATTCCCTACTCCTGAGTCCTGACAAGTGCCCAACAATCCACCTACATAAATATTCTAAGTACTCTCTGGATCCCTGTTAGTTAGAATACAAGATTGGTGGGTTCCCCCCAAATCCTAGGTAGAAATCTAAGTTAAACAACATTGGTGGGCCCTTTAGATACTTGAGAACCCCTTTTACAACAGTCAAGCGAGAATCAAGGGAAGAAGCCATCAATTGGCAAACTTTGTTCACTAAGAACTTAAGAAGCTGATTTCTGACCTAGAAACAGAGGCATATTGCCACACCCCAAAATAGGCCTGTAAAGTGTTGGATCAGTAAATGTATCAGAATCATGTTTGACTAATTTGGAACTAGAGACTGTTGGAGATGATATAGCTTTGGCATCAGGCATCCCAACACATCATCAATTTTGGATTATCACTCATGGCAGAAAGCAATAAGATATATACAAATTGGGAAGGCAGATTACATGTGGTGTGGCCAACAATGACAAAATACAACTGCATGGCCAGGAAAATCAATCATTACATTTGGGGAAGATAGATACACTATGAGGTTGATTCAAAAACTTGCTTTGATGCCATGCACATAGTTAGAGAAGGAGAGAGTTGTTTCATAACATTCACCATGCAAGAACAAGATCATCATTAGGCTCCCTGTGTGGCCATTATTACCAGTAATTCAGGCATGCTATAAATTAGTACACGTGTAAAACTTGTATGGGATCATAGTTCAAACCATAATTTATAACAAATACATAAATTTATCATAACACATTTTATCCACTTCTATCATGGACTACATTGTATCTGGGATCTTTGGACCTCGTATCTCTAGGATGTAATTTACTTTTGGTGTCTCTCTCCCTATTCCCATGAATCTCTTTCTTTGACTAACTATTTTAAAACAAAATGCATACATGGATTGTTCTTCATTAAATTGATTTGCAATATAAAAATAGACAATCCTGGCCATTACAAAAAGTTAACAAGAATGGAATCAGGATTCAGGATTAACAACTAAATCAACAATCTTTGCATAATACACAAAAAATATATAATGGTTATATTACTCAGAAATTTGCAATTGACATGTTACATATACAAGGACCTACTTTCAATATCCTCATCAGTACCCATTCTTTGTGTTACCTTGTTTCCCTGGCCAATGTCACGAAGTTCCACCTATTATCAAAAACTACAAGTTTTGGTTAGGAATGTAGTTTAAAGTAAGAGTTCACAAGTTACAAAATACAACTATATATGATAAAAATAGCACAAAAAAGAAAGTAGTTGGGAAAACCAAGTAAAATAAGATTTTCTTTAATCATGGTTATTTCCCTGACAAAAATTGACAGACATGTGTCATCATCCAAACCAGCTAATAAGTTTCTAAACAAAACCAATAAGAAATAGCATGTTAGGATATAAAATCACAGCCTAAATCACCACTCTCTTAGGAAAACAACATTACTTAATAAAATCTATAGTGGATAGTGGATACATGCCATATGTGTTTTAACACACTATTAGTTGTTGTAGTAAGTTAAGCAAATCTATATGTAATAATGTAACAAACTGGTTGAGAAACAGTTGCATTTTTAGTTGATGTAACTGTCTGCCAACTCAATAGTCTCTATATAAATTGTAAAGCTAAAAGCAAGTATAGATAACATAATAATTAGATTATCAAACACATTCTGTTTTTCTCTACTCCTTGATCTCTCTCAATCACTTTCTTTTATATTCCTTCATAATCTTAACTTGTAACAAAATCAAACAATACGACTCTTTGAGATTCTGTATAGTAATGTGAAAAATACTAATTTATCAGTTAGTAGTCGATCCAAATACTTCAATGTGGTTGCTTCTAGGGAAAACTACTCAAATAATCTATACCGGATATAGATAAGACTAAAGTACAATGCGCAGTTTACAAGAGCCTAAATCACATACCAAGATTATTGGATCCTAATGGGCTTGATTGTGGGCCTGAATCCATTAAGGTTAGTATAAATAAGTGTAATCAGCTACTGATAAAGGTACGTTTTCATAATTACCAGTTTGATTAGCATTGATATCTCTGAGACCGAGGACTGACTTAAGCATTGTTTTGGCGCCCATCGTGGGGCCCGATTTTGAAGGCCCGCATTGTTTATCTCTTTTGCAGGAAGAAGAGTTTGTAGAAGATGGTTACAACCACTTGGTCCAACCCGAATAGGGCTCGGGGCCGATTTCTATGGAGGATAAAATTGATCTCTTAGATGCTGTGAATATGCTTCGTGAAGAAATAACAGCTGTCAAGCAAGTTCGGGAAAAAGACGCTCAGGAGCTTGAAGCACTCAGATCGAGCTTCAAAAAATAACTCAAGACCTCGACCGAGGACACACTCGGTTGAGCGTGAAAGGCAACTCAAGACCTCGGCCGAGGACACACTCGGTCGAGCGCGTAAAACAAATCAAGACCTTGGCCGAGGACACACTCGGTCGAGCGTGAAAAACAACTCAAGACGTCAGCCGAGGACACACTCGGTGGAGCGTGAAAGGCAACTCAAGACCTCGGTCGAGGACACACTCGGTCGAGCGCATAAAACAACTCAAGACCTCGGTCGAGGACATACTCGGTCGAGCGTGAAAATAATTCAAGACCTCGGCCGAGGACACACTCGGTCGAGCGTGTAAAACAAATTGTTAGAATAGTGGATTAAGCCTAACTCAACCCTACAAAACCGGCTTGTAAGGTGAGGGTTGCTTTCCACTTATATACTATTCAATTGCCTAATCTCTAGTCGATGTGGGACTTGGGTTTTTCCCAATACACCCCGTCACGTCCAGCACTATTGGGCTTGGTACGTGGATAATGGTGGGTGGCCCTTTTTAATGATCTAGGATTGGCAGGACTTGGGTTTTTCCCAATACACCCCCTCATGCCTATGAGACATGCATCAATGGTGGGTGGCCCATTTTTAAAGTGGATCTAAATGGCTCTGATACCATGTTAGAATAGTGGATTAAGCCTAACTCAACCCTACAAAACCGGCTTGATTTTCTCCCTAGCCCTTCTCTCTTCCTCTTTCTCTGCTTTTCTCAAGGCCAACACCCGTTTCCTTTCATTCTCTTCTTCAATCCTCTTTGCTTCCAGCAACTCCTTGCCAATACGAATTCTCTCCTTTTCTCTTTCTCTTTCCGTTCTCTTTTCTTCCTCCTCTTTCTTCTTGCGAGCTCTCTCCCTTAGTTCCTGTTGTTTGGCCTTCAGTTCATCTGGGGTAAGAGAAGGTTTAGCAACCTCAATTTTGGTATTGGCAGGCACCAACCAACTTACAGCAGCCTCAAGGCCAGCATTACCTGAGTAATGAAGCGCCCGTGTTGCCCTTGCAGTTGAAAATCCCATGGCTTCAAGTTCCTCAAGCAGCTTTTTATCCACTTCAGGAACAACCATTTCTTCATTCTGGTCAGTAGACGCAGCAGCGGAAGGGTTTTCCGACGAAGAAGTCGCATCGACCTTAGGAGCCTCCAAACTAATCGGCTTCACCGCCTCGGAAGTCCTATCGACAAATTCAGTGTGGCCGGTTCTCTTGGTGTGCAAATCGCTCTCGGTTTTGGATCAGCAGGGTTTGGAGCAAGCGGTGCAAACGAGGTTGAGAACGGGTTCGGTGGATTCAGAGAAGTTGGAGTGGGAAGTGAGTTCGGCGTGCTCTTGGGCTTCTTCTACGGTCCTCAACAGAGCCCCACAGTCTCCGCACTTGAGAGAAACGCCCGCCATTGATGCAAATGCAAATGCAATGCGCTGCGATTTTCACCGAAGCGGATTATTTATATTTTGACCAATCTGCACCTGTGAGTCACCACTGCTCGCTTTCTCCGGGTACAAATCAAGACCTCGGTCGAGCTCAAGACCTCGGCCAAGGACACGCTCGGTCGAGCGCGTGAAAGACAACTCAAGACCTCGGCCAAGGACACACTCGGTCGAGCGCGTAAAACAAATCAAGACCTCGGCCGAGGACACACTCGGTCGAGCGTGAAAAACAACTCAAGACGTCAGCCGAGGACACACTCGATCGAGCACGTAAAACAAATCAAGACCTCAGCTGAGGACACACTCGGTCGAGCGTGAAAAACAACTCAAGACCTCGGCCGAGGACACACTCGGTCGAGCGTGAAAAACAACTCAAGACCTCGGCCGAGGACACACTCGGTCGAGCGTGAAAAACAACTCAAGACCTCGGCCGAGGACACACTCGGTCGAGCGTGAAAAACAACTCAAGACCTCGGCCGAGGACACACTCGGTCGAGCGTGAAAAACAACTCAAGACCTCGGCCGAGGACACACTCGGTCGAGCGTGAAAAAGTAACTCAAGACCTCAGCCGAGGACACACTCAGTCCAGCGTGAAAAACACAACTCAAGACCTCGGCCGAGGACACACTCGGTCGAGCGTGAAAAAGTAACTCAAGACCTCAGCCGAGGACACACTCAGTCCAGCGTGAAAAACACAACTCAAGACCTCGGCCGAGGACACACTCGGTCGAGCGTGAAAAAGTAACTCAAGACCTCAGCCGAGGACACACTCAGTCCAGCGTGAAAAACACAACTCAAGACCTCGGCCGAGGACACACTCGGTCAAGCGTGAAAAACAAATGAAGAACTCGGCCAAGGACACACTCGGTCGAGCGTGAAAAACAATTGAAGAACTCGGCCGAGGACATACTCGGTCGAGCGTGAAAAAGAAACTCAAGACCTCAGCCGAGGACACACTTGATCGAGCGTGTAAAACAAATCAAAACCTCGGCCGAGGACACACTCGATCGAGCGTGTAAAACAAATGAAGAACTCAGCCGAGGACAAACTCGGCCGAGGACACACTCGGTCGAGCGTGAAAAAGTAACTCAAGACCTCGGTCGAGGATACACTCGATCGAGCGTGTAAAACAAATCAAAACCTCGGCCGAGGACACACTCGATCGAGCGTGTAAAACAAAAAAACCTCGGGCAAGGACGTGAAGAACAATTCAAGTCATCGATCGAGTGAGGAAAAAATGACTCGAGACTCTCAATCGATGACACACAGTCGAACGAGTAAATAGAAAACCCCTCGGCCTAAGGCCTTTATCTTGAAAAGACCTCTTGGCCAATTAGCTTGAAAAACCCCTCGGCCTATTTATCACAAATACACATCGACTTCAAATACTCAATCAACTTTCAAAGTTATTATACTATGACATTTCGGTTAATAACCTTTGAATAAAACCTTTCGAATATGTTAAAGACCCTTCGGCCAGGAAAATTTCTAAAAACCACAGCATGAGAACCGCGTGTAACTTTTAAGGTCCTCAGCCAATTAAAGAATGAAAACCGTTTTATATATAGTAGTCCTCGGTCAAAGGGGTTAAAAGGAATCAAAAATTAAGAAAACTATTTTGGTCCTCGGCCAATCGAAAGTTATATATATATTGGCCCTCGGCCAAATAATTGAAACATAAAGCTGTACGTATAAAAGATTCCTTGGTGAAAAAGTTTTGAAAGCCAAAGTTTTTTATATATATATATATATATATATATAGTAGTCCTCGGCCAAGTATGATTGAAAATCGTTTTATGCCCTCGGTCAAAGGAGTCAAAAATTAAATTTTACATATCAAATGGCTTGCAGGAATAATTAGCAATTCTTGACCAAAAATTTGTCAATCGAATATTTTGATAACAAACTCAAACCAAGAACAAGCTTAATCGTTATTAAAGAATTATTAACCAGTAAGTATTCTTGGCAATGTGGTAAATATCCCATTAATTATTCCCAATAATACATAGTCAAAACCACGAGGTCAAAACGGGATAAAATGAGTAAGAAGAGCATAAGAAATGTCAAAACTTGATGTTCATTCATAACACTGACGGATTACATAAAAGTCAAAGGTCATAGAAAGGCAAAAAATAAACAAACATCAAGAAGTAAGGATTTAAGCATCAGGATCAATATCGGCTGGAGCAACATTGTCCTCGGCAACTAGTGAAGAGGGAGGAGGAGTATTGGCATCTTCAGTAGTAGCCTCATCAGGAATATCGTTCAAATCCATGAAGTTTCCCTTGTAAAAATCTTTTCCAAGGTCAAATTGAAAGTCCGAGGGAACATCAAGGAAACGAATGGCCTGTCGAACGGCATGATTAAAGCCCTCTTCATGTTCATTGTAAATCCTTTCCTCGACAACATTTTTGTAGGACGCATAATCAGAAATAGCTTTGTTTCTTTGAGCAGTCACTTCTTCAAGTTGTCCCTCGAGCTCCCCCACCACTTTGGCCTTCGAAGCTTCGGCCTCACCTAACTTCTCTTGAAGATTGCTTACCAAGCCATGCAGTTTCGTGCGCTCGACCTTAAGCTTGTCAAGTTCAGCAGAAATGGCCAATTAGCTTGAAAAACCCCTCGGCCTATTTATCACAAATACACATCGACTTCAAATACTCAATCAACTTTCAAAGTTATTATACTATGACATTTCGGTTAATAACCTTTGAATAAAACCTTTCGAATATGTTAAAGACCCTTCGGCCAGGAAAATTTCTAAAAACCACAGCATGAGAACCGCGTGTAACTTTTAAGGTCCTCAGCCAATTAAAGAATGAAAACCGTTTTATATATAGTAGTCCTCGGTCAAAGGGGTTAAAAGGAATCAAAAATTAAGAAAACTATTTTGGTCCTCGGCCAATCGAAAGTTATATATATATTGGCCCTCGGCCAAATAATTGAAACATAAAGCTGTACGTATAAAAGATTCCTTGGTGAAAAAGTTTTGAAAGCCAAAGTTTTTTATATATATATATATATATATATATAGTAGTCCTCGGCCAAGTATGATTGAAAATCGTTTTATGCCCTCGGTCAAAGGAGTCAAAAATTAAATTTTACATATCAAATGGCTTGCAGGAATAATTAGCAATTCTTGACCAAAAATTTGTCAATCGAATATTTTGATAACAAACTCAAACCAAGAACAAGCTTAATCGTTATTAAAGAATTATTAACCAGTAAGTATTCTTGGCAATGTGGTAAATATCCCATTAATTATTCCCAATAATACATAGTCAAAACCACGAGGTCAAAACGGGATAAAATGAGTAAGAAGAGCATAAGAAATGTCAAAACTTGATGTTCATTCATAACACTGACGGATTACATAAAAGTCAAAGGTCATAGAAAGGCAAAAAATAAACAAACATCAAGAAGTAAGGATTTAAGCATCAGGATCAATATCGGCTGGAGCAACATTGTCCTCGGCAACTAGTGAAGAGGGAGGAGGAGTATTGGCATCTTCAGTAGTAGCCTCATCAGGAATATCGTTCAAATCCATGAAGTTTCCCTTGTAAAAATCTTTTCCAAGGTCAAATTGAAAGTCCGAGGGAACATCAAGGAAACGAATGGCCTGTCGAACGGCATGATTAAAGCCCTCTTCATGTTCATTGTAAATCCTTTCCTCGACAACATTTTTGTAGGACGCATAATCAGAAATAGCTTTGTTTCTTTGAGCAGTCACTTCTTCAAGTTGTCCCTCGAGCTCCCCCACCACTTTGGCCTTCGAAGCTTCGGCCTCACCTAACTTCTCTTGAAGATTGCTTACCAAGCCATGCAGTTTCGTGCGCTCGACCTTAAGCTTGTCAAGTTCAGCAGAAAGCTCTTCATTTTTGCTGAGGGCCGAAGCAAGGGCAACTTCCGAATTCTTCAAACTAGTACGAAGCTTATCCGTCTCAGTGATTGGTTCCATGAAGAGAGTTTGAGCTATTGCCATAGAACGACCCATCAACTCACACAAGAGAGACCACTTTGTCAACGAGTTCTCTTGAGATAAAAAGTTACGACCTTCCGGGGAAATAAACCTTTGGCCGAAGACTTCACGTGTGTTGATTGTTGGATTCAAAAAACTACTCGAAGTCAATGCAGGGGGCAAGGTACAAGGACCAATGAGGGAGGGGGTCAAATGCTTTTGTTTCTTAGCTCTCATTCCAGCCTCGGCCTCGGTTTCCATGCGTTCGGTGGTTCTATGCTTAGGGCCCTTGCCCTTGTCTTTTGAAGGCTTCTTCTTCTCAACCCGAGGAGGAATTACATCCACCAAAGGCTCAGCAGGGGGAACTCCAAGTGAAGGAGTAGCAGTAACAGTAGCGGCCTCGGCCTTAGCACGTTCCTTTCGGACTTGGCGGAAAGAAGGGACGTTAGCACCAAAAGAAGCCATAATACCTATGAAAAAGAGAAATTAAAATCAAATTCACGATCGCGAAACATGAGCAAGAGAATAGTATATACCTTCAAGGTCTCGAATGGGATTGGGAGACTTAAGCAAATCTATAAGTCGTCGACATGAGAGGTCACGAGGAAGACTTTCCAAAAATGAGAAGTCAGAAAGTTCCCCGGGTGTAAGGAAGGAATGAGGAAGAATATCATATCGGAGGGGAGTCCGAGTCCAGTAAAAAGGAAACAAAGGAGTATTATGATTATCAAAAAAGTAAGATTGACCACTCGGATGTATACACACCTTAAAAAAACCCACTTTGAACTTTTTATAAGAAGAGGTGAAAGGTTTCAAGAGTCTCCGAGAAGGAACTCGGGCTAAAGAGACCCACTTAACCTGTTCGGCCGGACGACAGTAATAATGAAAAAGAAACAAACTAGATGTCGCTTTCACATGGGTAAACTTGCACAAACTCCAAAAGGCTTGCATGGATGCCCAACTATTTGGATGCAATTGAGTAGTTGCTACATTTAGGATTCGGAGAATACTTTTGAAGAAAGGATGGAAAGGAAGAACAATGTCGAGGTCACGAAAAAGACAATCATACATGTAAAAGAATTGCTTCGGTTTGCTATACGATTGACAGGCAAATATATAATCTGGAGTAGAAGAGGCATCGGTTTTACAAGTCATAGCATAAATAGGGTACGATTCGTCCCTAGAAGGGAAGGAGGATATTTCTACAATGCTTACGAAGTTCTCTAAAAGTCTAGGGTCACAAAACCTAGAATTGTATGTAGCTACCTCAGGATGAACCCATTCAAATCCCGGTACCACTTTAGACTTACTATCATAAAGAGGATCTATATCTCCATCCTCCTCCTCGGCAGAGAAGATACCTTCAACATGATTTAAGCTTTTGGAGGAAGATGAAGAGCCCATACATGAGTGGCGAAGAGAATCATTATTCTCAAATGAAGACAAATTAGAGAAAGGAGAAGAAAAACTAGAAGTAGAAAAAGAACTCATTACCTAGAGAAGCAAAGAAGACTTCGGGTAAGACAAAGCATAAGAAACCAAGAACAACTAGGAGGGGAGTCTTCGGCCTCGGATAGTAAAATTTTCAACAGCGGAGCAAATGACATAAACGAGCATTTATAGCTGCAAGGTGAAAAACCTTTCCGTAAATAATAATAAAAAACGCCTCGGTGAAGAGGCTTTGTTTTTTTCTTTGTAGAAAATCATCACTCTCAAAGCCGAAGAGACATTTCATCCCTGGCACAAACGTTACTAACACGTAACAATTAATTCAAAGAGACTTCTCGGTTGTTTTCGTACACGCTATTACGGATGAATGAAAAGAAAGCATCACGCTTTTGTTGGTTACGTGCGGGGTGAAAAACCATTGGAAATGATTGAGGAAACATTTACCAGTACCGTCAACCACCTTTTTGGGATAAAGCAAAGGGAATAAGACAAAATTGGGGCGTAACAAATATTGATGAACCTTATATAATCACACATCCAGGTGCTTTGCTTTGGATTTTCATATCTTTTAAACATCCCGCAATTTCCTTTCCCCTCTCGGACTACTTAACACTTATATTTTAAGCTTTCTTCGATTATTAATAATAATAAATAATTTTAATAATCTTGAAAGACTGGGGGCATGTATACCGGATATAGATAAGACTAAAGTACAATGCGCAGTTTACAAGAGCCTAAATCACATACCAAGATTATTGGATCCTAATGGGCTTGATTGTGGGCCTGAATCCATTAAGGTTAGTATAAATAAGTGTAATCAGCTACTGATAAAGGTACGTTTTCATAATTACCAGTTTGATTAGCATTGATATCTCTGAGACCGAGGACTGACTTAAGCATTGGAGTGCCTTTTGCAGGTACCCCTCTCTTTCCCTAGGATACATCATGGAAGACGAAGATCCAGCAGGAGTAGCAAAATTACCGGAGTACCCTCGTGCAGGTACACAATCCAAGTGAGTTTATACATAGAAAACAACTTTGTATACATCTCTAACATTTTAGTATGTCATATATGGTTTTATTATGGAGTTACTAGTTACTTCAATGTGGTTGCTTCTAAGGAAAACTATGACCATATAAGTAAACTGTTATTGTCTCTATATACAATTAGTTGTTTTCTATTCACTTTGTTCACCACCTTTCTGATAAGTAGAGAGAAATAAGAAAGTTATCAGAATTATTGATAAATGTTTTCCTCTGTCAAGGAGATGTTCAGTATAAAACCAAGGCATACTATGTTGCACAACAATGAGCTGGTCTTAAAGAGAGTGCAGAAGATGTGCAAAAACAATTAGACATAAACAATGACCAAAAAGCCTTCCCATTCACTGCCTTTAGAAATGGATACAATCGCAATTCCTTCAAAAGACAAACTACATGATAGCACTCACTATACTAATTCTCTTTCGTTAAGACTGTTGTATAAGTTACATCTATGTACATAATACAATATTCCATTTCATAAACTAATTGAGGAAAAAGTAAATCAAGACAAGCAAATTGATATAATAATAATAATAATAATAATAATAATAATAATAATAATATGGAACAGGTGTGTGTTTAGGGAGGGTCAATATGAGAAAAGAAAGAAAAAAATCTTAGAATAAACCTTGATTGTGGCTTTTCCTCTTCCTTCATGAGAGTGATCTACTTTAAGAACCTGATGAGGTTTACATCAGGAAAGAAAGTGTTGGATAACAAGATTTAATGGATACTATTTGACGATAAATTGGTGGAATGATTAGTAAATACCTCGTAAATGCGCCCTGGAAGCAAACATGTCCAGCACAATAAGAATGCAAAGTGAATTTGTTAGGAAGCACACTATAACTACACATGCCGAATTGAATCATGGGAGTAAAATTCAATAACTCAAACGCAAAGCAACCTTGTTTTCCAATGATATTTCCGACTCTAATCTGCACCGCAACAAACACATTAAGAAAAATCTTTAAAAAAATTCGATCAAAAACAAGTTAGAAGATGCATACATCAGAACCAGATACTTTGATTCCCCGACATTGAGAAGCAGACCATGGAGAGGTGAACAAGTTGGTAGCGGTAGAGGAAGCAGAAGGTGGCGATGGTAGTGAGTTCAAATTCAATGGTGAGGGAGAACATGCATAAGAAGAATATAAATGTTTGAAAAGAGACTTGGTGTTGGAATTGGAAAACCTAAGCCTCAACCACACAGCTTGCATCCTCTCACTTTTCTTTGCTCAATTCTGATTTCGGAACAACCTCAAACCCTTCGCATTAACTAGGTTTCAACTCACAAATCTTTGTATCTTTATATATAGAGAGAGGGAAAAAAAAAAAAAAAACAGTTCTCACTAAGGCGCTTTGACAACAGAATCATGATATACCAAAAATGATAAATGAACTCTCAACTCTCAACTTTTTTGTTGTTGGAGGTTTTGTTCTAGAAATATGTCACATTATTATTAATTTTTAATTAATAAAGAGGTATAATCCGTTTTTATCGAATTTACTTCTAAAAAAAATAAAAATAAAAATAAAAATAAAAAAAAGTATTTTCTCCGTTTTTTATTCAAAGTCGTTTAAGATTTTGCACGGGACTTAAGAAAATGATTGAAATTTTAGTTTTCAAAAATATTTATTACTTACTTTCTTATTCTACCATCTATTTTTTTATAGTATTTCATTAGAAACATATTATTCTTTTAAATGCAACATTAACTTCACATAAGTGGTTAGAGAAAAAATAGGTAGACATTAGAAATAAATATACATAATGTTCAGTAAACATACATTAATTATGAAGGATAAAAATGAAAAAAAAAATTAATAAGTCATTGATTTTAGTAAAATAACAATAAAAAATAACAAATTTTGAAAAAATGACTATGAATAAAAAACGGAAGGAGTAATTATCTCGTAACAATTTCATGTCCGAAAATGGACTAGTCGTTGGTTAAAGAAAACTAAGAGTCAAAAAATCAACTAACCTTATTTGATTCTTTCTCAGCATCTGTGATCCATTTGCAAGTGTTTGTTTCTACAGTAGTTTTATAAGAATGAATTTTGAATACTATTAAAAATAGAATGGAACATGATCAAATTCAATTTATGTCTATTAACATGAAGGTATAAAATCGTTTGTTAGACTTTCATTTGAAATTGCACCGATTAACCTACCGATGCAACAAGGTATACCAAATGGTGAAATGTGAAAAGTACTTTTTTTTACCGGTAAACAACAATAATGTGGTGCTTTAAATGAAGATCTCCTCTGTTTAACTCCTCATTTTCAAGAAATTTCAATTTATATTTCATTTTTTATAGATATAAAATATAAATAAATTGATGGATAAATTGAACGACGTATAAAAAGTCATACTAGCCTTGACAATAGAGTAATGCTCTTTAGCTAAATTAGACAAACCACCAGGATTCACGGATCCAACCATTGCTTTAAACCATTTTTCTTATGAGTAGCATTAATCTATCTTCCCAATAAAGCCCAAAAGAAAGTTGAATTTGAAAGCGCTTGCAATACTTGGAAGAAGAAACAGTATATCTTTGAAGTTCCTCAAAGCAAGGTGCATGAAGAAACAATATATTTTAGAAGTTCTTCAAAGCAAGGTGCATGAAGAAACGGTATGTCTTTGAAGTTCCTCAAAGCAAGGTGCATAATGCCAACCGAGAGCCAGATGCAAAACCAATTTGATTCAGTGTTCCAAACACAGTCCTAAACAAGGAGAATAGATAACTTACAAAAGCTACACTATTTATGAGAAAGTAACAAGGCACTAGCATCCACTGCTTGGGGTCCTCTTTTGCCAGCACATAAATCTGGCAAGTTGCTACTGAACATGAAAAGAAAAACTGTCTTTTTCCAACAAAAATATTTACAAATAACTGCAGTAACACACCATCCGCAAAATCCAGGAAGAATATAGCAGGTAAAAACTTCCCCCTCCCATCCCTGTGTGCTCATGATGCCCAGAATCTCATCTTACAAAAATTGAAGAAGAGAAACTTAGCTGTTAAAAAGAGTGATTACACAGCTAAAAATGCACGAGGAATGGTAGGGGGATGTATCCATGATACAGGGAAAAAACATCCAAAACTTCTGGGAAAATGGAAGGAATACTCCAACCAATGTCCACATCTGAACTAGGATCAGAAAGCAATGGATCATATAATTGTATGAACCCAACTTCATTCTCCCCTAGACACGTTTAATGGTTGATGGGATCGGTTCGACCCTGCACGGCCATCCTCTCAGAGACATCAGCCAAAGAGCTTAGGTTACACCTGATCAAAGCCTCCACAAAGTAACAAGTTTCATCCCTGGTGTTCCCATCAGGCACATCTACCACAAATGATTCAATCACCATTGTGCCAGGTCTCCCGTCAATGACCTCTGGATGGACCGTGATTATGGAAGAATAGTTCTGCAAAATCAACATAGCATGATTAAGTATTACAGCTGGTGATATACCTAGCAAAATACATCACATACTGCATAGGAAATGAATTAGCAAACTTAATAGTTAATCTATCCCGAGTCATATCATCCAAATCCAAACAATTATCAGCATTTCATCTAGGTAACCCTTGTTTTCATCTCAATGATTAATGATTAAAATCAGCCACAACTACCAAGATGAAATGTTGGTTTTGATTAAAGAACACTACCAACAATATTTATGACACTATACCTATGTTTTGCCCATAAATTTACAAGCATTGAATAAAATAATCTTCCAATTAATGATATATTTGGCAAATGAAGAGGCAGCTGTAATAAGTTGAAAATTTGGTAATCATTATGCAAATTAAACTGAGTAAACAAGGTTGTAAGACATTACAAATTATAAACCAAACAGAGTAAATACCAACAGCAAACAGGAGACTCTGCAATCCACAATCCTTTCAAACTATTTTCAGTATAAAATACATGATAGGAGAACCGGTCAAAGACTTTATTATATAGAAAAGTCAAATGTATTTATAAAAAGAAAGTAAGATCTAAAATATATACCAATTGAACAACATAGGCAGGCAAGTGATGGTTTGATCTATCTAGGCCATTACTCAAAACAAATTCCATATTTCCAATAGGGACTACTAGATTCTTTTTGATGACAAACATTAACAAGAAACAAAAGAGGAAGTATCCTTTTATAGCGCACAACCTGAACAATATCCTCAAACTCGCTTTATGTCTTATCACCCAAATTTAATTATAAATAGTTGGCTCTCATGACTGGCTTTGCAACAAGCAGTAATCATCAGGTTATAGAATATTTTTGTTTGTAGGGGGAAGAATGCTCAGTTAATAACTTAACATCCATAACTTAATGCTTTTATATATCCAATATAACCTTGTAGTAACTAATAATATTTGGTTTTCAAAGTCTAATAGAAGAATAAAACGATCAAGGAACAAGAAAGGATCATACCCTCAGCCTATGGTCACCTCCAACAATCCTGATACCAAGAATGTGTTCCTCATCATCAAATTGCTCCAACCTCTCAGTACTTGTTGTGGCTGGAAGGCCAGATTTAACATTGACTTCTCTAACGCTTCCAATGCCAAGGTCCCCTTGCATGATACACCTGCTGACAAATGGTTTATATTTCTGGGGTTGATCAAATCTTCTAACCAGCGACCACACCTGAGAAGGGAAATAAACCAATCAAACCAATCAATAAACATTTTTTCTTCTATTGCTACAAAATCCACCAAAAAACAAAACATGCCATCATCACATATACTTATTTCTTCAATTTCAAGACACTGAACCTTAATTGAATGTCCCATAAAAAGAATAAAATTGGAAGATAACTTAGTAAAAGTTAATATAATAATATTACACATTACTTGGTTTACTGAAAACAATTTTTCAAGCAACAAGAGTTAATTAAAGGACATTATAGAAAATTAGAGACAAGAAAGTCAATGAGTGACGAACACTCAGCAGCTGCTAAGCAAAAACCGTAAAATTTTCAGATTTCCTTCTTACTCCACTTGCACTCTCCATAATCATAAGAATTGAACCGTAAAAACTTGACAAACAAATCACAACACAAACGCAAAAGCACAGCCACAGCCTTCAATTATGTGACTTCTTTTTATCCTTAGAAATCAAACATAACAAGAAAAACTCAAACAAAACCTCCTAATAAAATGAAGATTACCCTTCCCCAAAACTCATTTCACAACCAAAACCCAAGTTTATAAAAAATGATTGTAGACCATAATTTCAACTGCAACGTCAAAGATTTTGGAGTTACTACAACCGCTTTGCATGTCACAACATCAAGGTTTTTGAAGTCACCGCAACCGTTTTGCATGCTACATGGCTACACGCTACAACATCAAGGTTTTTGGATTACTGCAATTACTGGAATCACGATAATTGCATCACAACTGCAATTGCAGCCAAAGTCACAATTTCAAGGTTTTTGGATTCACTTAAAAATGCAGCTGAAGCCGCAACATCAAGGTTTTTAGATTCATCGCAACTGCAATCGCAGCCGAAGTGGCAATATCAAGGTTTTTGTGGATTCAGCAAATCACAACTGCAATTGCAGTAGCCTCAACAGTATTTGTCCACAATTTCCTGAAATAGCAAAAAATCCTAACAAAACTGCAACTGCAATTGCAGCTGCATCAGTCATATCTATCCACAATTTCTTGCAATAACAAGGATCATGATGAAAACCCACAACATGCAGCAAGGATCGTGATGAATCTAAAACCTTGCCAAAACCCAACAAAAACTCGCGTCTCATGAGCTGAAAAAACCAGCTTTTGCAACTTCCCCACAGAACACAAAATCTAGAATAAACATCCATCCCCAGAGAGACAAAAGCAAAGAGACAAAACACCCAGATGAGTATACAACATTGGAAACAAAAAAGAAACACACACACACACACACAAAGAGAAACAAGCCAAACCACACATAACAGATCTCCAAAGAACCAAGAAAAAAATAGATTTTTTTTCTCCGTCCACCACAAACCAAAAAACCATGAAATTGGTCCAAAAAAGTAAGGTTGAGAAAGAAACTAACAAGGTGAACAGGAGCTCTTATGTGTTTGACAAGTGCAGAGGTGCACTGGTTCTCCCTCGGTTCATGTCTGTGATGCCTCCTTATGTACTGCATCTCAATAGCACCGTGTAATTCACCACCGTTCATCTTCTCTCTCTCTCTAAGTTGGCTTGTTTTTGTTTCTGTTTGTGTTTCTCTCTCTCTCTCACTCACTTTTGGCTATAACATACGGCAGAGGCAACAAGTGGGAGAGGGATAAGCTTAAGCTGTAGAGAAAGAGAGAGAGAGGAGTTGGTGTAAAAAAGTGACAACCTTAGCTTAGCTTGGCAGTACATCAAAAATCCATGAATCCACCGACAATGTTTTTATTTTATTGGTTTTGTTCAACTATGCTTAGCACATCGATATCAATATTAAGCATATTATGATGAAGTGGGTGTTATTATTTTATCAATTTCCATGTTCCTCAATGCCCTTTCCCTTTGCCCCATTATTGCCGCTTTAAATAACTTAAAGACAAAAGGGAACCTCGTTCACATTGTGTTCTGCCAATTTATGTTACGTACCAATTTTAAAATAATAATTCAACCATATGATATTAGACCTTTATTTTGTTCGGTTAAAAAAATTGGGGAAAAAGAGGATTGAAAGTACAGGTATAGTGTCACCAAGTGGCTTTGCGCTCACAGCCAATCCCTGCTGTCCATTTAGGAAAAGAAGGTGCACTGAGTTAAAGTCAAACCATCGGGTGAGATTGACTTAACCCTTCAAACACTTCACACAATTTGACACTGCTTACAACTTCAAACCTATGTCATTTAGATTAACATTTCAACTAATGTTGTTTTGACACGTGGTTTTTAATGTCTTAATTAAGTTGTTTTAGATTTCAATTTTTATCATAATTATTAAATTAATTCATTTATGAGGGAATTATCTTTTTTATACGTGTATACGGTCGCTCTCTAATAAAAATCAATCATCATTTCTGATTTCAATAATGATATTTTCTATCAATATTATAATTATAAAAAAATAATAATAAATAACATTTGTATTTTAAATTACATTAAAATTTAATATTATTAAGGTAATTGCAAACCGTAATACTTCATTCCGAATATACCTGTAGTGTAGTCTGCACTCTGCAGAGCATCGATAGAAAAAGAATCATTAACCGAAAAATAGAGCATTCAATGTTTTTTTAAAAACAATTATAAATATTGAATATAAACATTGAACAACACTTTTAGTTTCTCAGTAATTGTACGTGCTCGTAGATATGCATAAGTAAAACCATAATATGTTGCAATGTATTTTGTATTTTAACATTTTCTATCCCTCAATTTTATGAATATAATATTTGTATAGTTTTTATATATACATTATAATTGATAAGATTTAAATATATTTTTAATTCTTAAAAATTAAGGTAAATTTATTTTTAATCCTTTAATTTAAAATGGATCTTTTTACCCTTTTAATTTTAAAAAATTTTGTTTTAGTTTTATACTCAAATTTTATTAAAAAATCTATTAAATATGTTTATATAAAATCTACACATTAGTATTTTTTTAGTGAGAACATTACATTAAACCTAGTTAATGATTATTTCAATCTATTATTTTTATATATGTTATTAGTGACCTGAAAAATCAAAATAAATTTTTTAAACATTAAGAAACTAAAAATAAACAGTTTTAAATTTAAGGAATTAAAAACAAATTTACTCTAAACTTGATTGATTAAAAATATATTTAAACTTTATTTTAATTTATATAAAAAGAGGACTATGACTAAGCGTGAAAAGTTATCTTTTAATGTAATTTACTTAATTAAATTTTAAAATTAGTTGAGTAAACAATTTAAATATATTCTTTTGTGACGAGATATATCACTTTATAAAAGTTAAATCATTAGAAGAAAAGAATTATATTTCTTTATTAAAAATAAATTATTTATTTTATGTTAACCAGTAAGATACACTCAATATCACTATTTTCAATATAAATTCAGATTCTCTAACTTTGAGTATAAGTTATTGAAATAGTTTGGAAGTTATTGTATTTAATAATAGTTTTAAAACTTACTAAAAGACTTTTGCAATCCTTAAAAACATTCATTAAATAGTTTTTTATTTTATTTAGAAGGTTAAAATTTTAAAAAGGTTTAAATATATTTTTTAATCCCTCAAATTTAGAATAAATTTGTTTTTGTCCCTCAAATTTAAAATTATTATTTTTAGTTCTTTGGTTTTCAAAAATTTTACTTTAATCTCTCAAGTCACCAATAACATATATTTGAAAGCAATAAATTGAGACAATTATGCACCATTAACTAGATTTAATGTGATGTTTTCACTAATAGAAACACCCATGTATAGATTTTGTACAATAACATTTAAGAGATTCTCTAATAAATTTTAAGTATAAGAATTAAAACAAGATTTTTTTAAATTAAAGTAACTAAACTACCAATTTTAAGTTTGAGACTAAAAATAAATTTACCTTACATCTAAGAGATTAAAAACATATTCAAGTCTTAAAATAACTAGATTAAATAATAACATGAGGGAGCTTTTAACTATTTTTCTTTAATAGAATATTTCTAAGAATGTTTTTAATCTCATATTACTTTTAGTTTATTATTTTTGTTTTTATTTATAAAAAAGTTTAATATTTAAAAATATATTAATAATTAAAAATAATCTTATACAACCATAAATCTAGAATATATAATAAAATATTTATTTATCTTCTTTATATATAAATTACAATAATTATCTTAAACAAAAACATTTTTAGAAATTAATTTTTAATTATTTATTTATTCTCTCAACTCTTTTAGCTCACCTTTTTAATTTTGATTTTAAATTAAATTTCATTTTTTAAAATAAAGTTATTAATAATTGAAGTAATTTTATATTATAATATAAATTATTTATCATAAATATAAAAATATTTATTTATTATATATTTTAGTTAAAAAATAAAATAAAAACATATATATCATATACATTGAAGAGACTAAAGTATAGTAATTAAAATGATTAATAATAGTGCAGTGGAATTGCATATTTTGAAAATAAAATGATTGAAAAGCATGGTACACATCATCTCAGATATTGACATATAACTAATTATTGCAATTGGGGGGTGTCAAGTGTCCACTGTATATCCACTTGGGCGTGCAATAAATGCATTATCTAATTTAAAATCCGCATTTTACTTTTTAAGAAAAGGCAGGAACACAGAAAGGTTAATGAGATTCAAAATATTTGTAGTTTTTCACAATGGTTTTGTCACCATCGATTTTATTTTTTGGTGCAAGGTCACTGTTTAATTCTCACTCATGTTTCGTGAAGGTATATCCTGCAGCATCTCAATTCTCACCTCTTTAACAAAAGGACAAAGCTGCACCAATCAATCTGTTTTCAAAATCTTTCTCGGGCCATCAGGTAATGCTTCATAGAAGGTTTTAGAAGGAAAATGATGTCAATTCATTTTCAATTAACATAACATTTATACAAGTAATTAATATGTACTTTATAATAATTTAATGTTACAACTTTTTATTTACAACTTTTTTATTCCAAACATACCGTAGGGTTTAATGTTACATCTTACAACCAATTAATAAGTTGATTTTGGCTACATTATTAAAAGATCATAATTACAAAAAATAATTACTTTTTATTTATAAATAGTTTATCCTTCACTAAAAACAATCTTATTCAAATCATGTGCGATCATTATAAGTAGTGAAATTTTTAATTTAAATATTTAATATAATTGTATTCTCACAATTGGTATACCTAGTTTGTTTGCATAATCTTAGATAGTATTTGTTAAAATAAGCTTAGTAATTCATTTAAAGATTTATATGACATTTACTCTAGCTTATGATTTTTAGACAAGTGTTACTCATCAACCAAAGACATAAGCCATAGAAAATAATAAATTTGATTTATACATCATTCTCAATAACAATGTAATGTTTGTTGGTTGATGAGTTATTTTGGTCCAACTTGTTGAATCATCTATATTGATTGGATTTAATATCAAAATGCATTGTTTGATATCCAATTACAAATTATCATGTGCAGGAAATTTATTACTTTTTGTAATAATTAACTTAAAAATCATATCAATTTTTTTTTTTGATTGGGTGATAGTATAAAAGTTTTACTCTAACAAACATCACATTGTGGCCTTGAGCAAAATTAAATTCCCTTCTTAATACATCAATAGAAAGTATCATTACTCTTGAAAGGCTTTAAGCCTCATATTAGAGAAATCAACTCACCTCTAACTCATATAAAAATCATTAACATCACTTTGGTATGATTATTATTAACTTGAGTAGAATTAATGTAACATTGTGAATTGTATGATTGTTTTTTAATTTTATTAAGTAAATGCATTATATTCATTGTTTTAATGTTTTAAAACTCTAAGGATTAAGAAATTCTTATAAGTTTAGTCGTTTAAAAGTTGTTGTGAATTGATGTCAATATTTTCCAAATTTAAGAGAAGGTAATAAGGTCTTTTTAAGACTTGAGTATAGTGGAGAGTTGGGTCTCTTATAAGTCCTTAGTTGATACTATATGGGGGTCAAGGCAAGTCATACTAGTTTAGAAGTGGTCAAACTAAGTAAGATAGGAAGTCAAAGGGTAAAATCATTAACTAATTACTAAAAAGGTATATGGTGTCACAAGGATAGTTAGTAGATTATACTCATAAGTTGTAAATCTATGTTGATGTTGTTATGTCTTGTTAAACTAGGCTTTGGGTCGTAAATGTATTGCATTGATAAGATTGTCTTATAGTTATCTTATTTGCTTATATATTATTTGTACGGGTAGGGGCGTTCGGCCACCTCTGGTCGGCCGCCGAATGGCAGTACTTGGTGGCCGAACGACAATCGGCCACCAGGACCGAACTATCATTACTCATTGCTCTTAACCCATGATTAGGGGTTAATCAGATGATTAAGGTGTATTACCTGATACGGTAAATACGTTGCAGGGCCCATGGGGTCCAGGGCCCATAAATGTCAGTATAAATAGCTCAGGTCAAAAGGTAACGTCACTGTTCATTAATTACTCTCGATATTTGTGCTTGTCCTGACTTGAGCGTTGGAGTGCCCTTTGCAGGTACCAACCCTTACTCACATCGGATCGGAGCAAGACGTTCGGCCCTCAACATACAAGAAGATCATTGGTGTATCCTCTTTACAGGTACATT